AGATTTTCTGGGTCAGTTAGGTTGGAGCGTGTCGCTTGGTGTGCGGCGGATCTACTAATGGCCATGTAGCGTTGATGCGACTTCATCACATTCTCCTGATTCCAAGTCATTTTAGCAAGGCTGTCTGTTGCAGGGTGATTGAGATGCCGTATGCCTACCAGTGCTGCGTGTATGGTTCTTGTGACAGCTACAAGACAGTCAACCAGTGGGACACTGATCAAAGCAACGCTGATGAACTTCACAAGAGAACTGCTGCCATTTACCCACACCGAGGTAAATATTTAGTTCAAAACATTTATAAAAATGAACACAGTTCACAGAAGCAGCAGTGTCATTTTCCTAAGTACAATATACCAAATGATCAATCTGGCTACATCCTGTAAAGCTTAAAGCTGTGGAGTTATAAATGTTGATCCCAATGATTCCAGATGATCCTGACCTAGAGGAATTCCAGCTAGAAATAGAGGAGTCCAAACTTCAGGCCAGTGTCCAGTGCACTCCAACACCAGGTGTGAAGTTTTATTGATTGAATCACAGTTTGAGAATGCAGTCGATTTCATTGAACTTTGCCAGGACACAATTTAGGGGTGAGCAATTGATAGATTTTGTTCTAATGCTGATGGATTGCATATGTTTGGTGTCACAGGTCCTTTCCGTCCCTGCGACTCTCTGTTGGGAAGTTGGTTGGTCCGTGTTGGTTTATGGACCATCTCCCTGGTGTCACTGTTGGGGAACTCACTGCTGCTCCTTTCTCTATTCAGCTCCCCGTGCCCAATGTCGCCATTAAGATTCACGGTGGCCTGCATGGGTGCCTCTAATCTGCTGACAGGTGTTTGTACAAGCACACTGGCCCTTGTAGACGCTTTAACAATGGGAGTCTTTAACCAACATGGTGCCTCCTGGCAAGGAGGCCCAGGGTGTCAGGTGACCGGATGGGTATGGGTGCTTGCTTCCGAGGCAAGTGTGTTGCTGCTGACGTTGGCGGCTGTGCAATGCGGAGCAAGCGTGACATGTGCCCGCAGCTACAGCAAACCGTCCTCACTGAGAAGTGTGCGTATATTTGCACTTTTGTGTCTGACTCTCTCACTCATTGTAGCTTCTTTTCCTCTGCTTGGAGTTGGGGAGTATGGATCATCTCCTTTCTGCCTACCGACACCATTACCACCTTCAGCTTCTCAGCTACCATCTTCCTTGGTCTTTCCCTTAGTGCTCATTATGATGAACACCCTCTGTCTACTCGTAGTGACGTGTTCATACATCCGACTCTACTGGCAATTACTAAGAGGAGAATGTGAGGGCCTGTGGGACTGTGCTATGATCAAACACGTCGCCTGGCTAATATTCACAAACGGCCTCCTTTATGTGCCAGTGGCTTTCTTCTCCATCTGCTCACTCCTGGGTCTCTTATCTGTCGGAGAGGAGGCGCTCAAATCAATCATTTTGCTTCTTCAGCCTCTACCTGCCTGCCTGAATCCACTACTCTTCCTACTTTTCACACGACACCACTCCCAGTATTTTTTCTGGTATTGCCCAAAAGGGCCTTTGCAGCTTCGCCGCGACTGCACCACAGACTCGCTGGTCTCTGTGGAGACAGAGAAGAGCTCCTGCTCGGAAACATCGACACAACTGTCACTGGCCGATGCCAGCACCCTGTGCAGTCGGGCCTCCTCTGTCCACTCTCAAATGGACCAGATTCGATTATCTCAGTACTCCGCTACTTCTTCCGTTCCTCTAATCTCCTGCCAGACACCCATTGTCAGAGGTAAAGACAGACCGAAAGAACAAGGGACCCTTGACAACAAAGGATGTCTGAAGACTTTGAATCAAGATATTCGTAACAACTGCCCGATGCATCGCTCAACCATGACTGACTCCTTTGCTCCAAATCCATAAACGACCAAGCTAACTGCCTGAAAAGCAGGGTATTACAGACACTCACAGGTCATCATGTACAGTGGCAGCAATACTAGTCCAGGGCCTGAGTCGACAAAGCGCCTCTAAATGAGACCACATGGAATATATGAGTACTCTTGAAAAGCAATGAGTGGTAGAGTGCCTCTAACAAGGGAACGTGCAACAAGAAGTTCCGCTGCAATAATGAATGAAAATATCATTATGCAAACAAAGAGGACAATTTTAGAACCCTTTTCAGTGGACTGCAGTCGCAGACTTCCATATAGTATCTTCAAGAAAGATCTAGTAAAAGCTGAAATAGACCCCATTGAAATGAAGACACCTTGGAGAACTTGTAAGCAGGGTGGACTTCAAATCTAGCATCAAGAACAGAGTTATATGTATAAATGCTATATTAAAATGTGACTGATCACAGGCATGCGGCTTCAAAGTTACACGTTGCCCGGTTATAATTACCGTAACTATTTGTGTTTATTCCTGCTTTCGAGTGACTTGACAATGAAAGGATTCATTGTCAAGCATGTCAGGTGATTAACCGGAGTAAGCTAGCAAATGCAAATGTGTGGAAAAAATTCACGTCATTCATTTTGTTCTGTCTGAAACATCAAATAGCACCTCCACAAAAAGATGGGGGACAGGGAGGAATAATGTCTCATTGCAATTTTGCCAATTATCTGGGGATTTAAAGGTAGACCACGCGTGTGTACAGTATATGCAACTACCTCCACACTAGCATGTTATTAGGGATGCACAGATGCCAGTATTGGATGAGATTGGGGCACGATTGACATCATCAGCAAGCACTCAAATATAAGTAGGAGAGACCAGGGACAGTTGTAACACGGGTCTGTTTTGCAGTTGCTCCAATCAGAAACAAGTTATACTGACTTTTTTTTCGGGGAAATCCTGATAGCTCAGAATTTTGTTTTCTTTTTTTGCTCAAATTATGTTTATGATTATAGCCTAACTTTGTAGTTGAACTCATCAAATGTATATCATGTTGATTATGTGTCTGTAGTGTTGGGGTCAGAGCGGCCTCCTCTTCCCCGCGTGTTCGTTGAATTTCGGACGAGGAGAATGTTGGTAATCCAAATAAAGGCTGGAGGCGATGAACAGTTCCTTCGAAGGCTTTTAATTTATTTCTGCAGTTTACAAATCGATTTGGGCTCCTGAGGGGTCCAGATTTGAAACAGGAAGCGTAGAAGAAACACATTCATGAGATTATATAGAGACAATATGATAATGAGAGGCGGGTAGGTACGCCTCTCATGCAAATCCCGGAAACAAAGAAAGTAACATGACATCTGACCCGGCGTGGCTGGAAGACATTTGGAGTGGTGGGGGGAGACCAAACCACCACGACCCACCATTTGGTGTGATAGCAAGTTCCAGAACCCCTGCTGTGCATACATCCTGAGATAAGAGGTCTTCCCAGGGGGGCCTAACAGCGATCAGGGACCGACCCACGGTGCGGGGGAACAACGGAAGAGACACTTGGGGGGCCGTTAATCAACCAAGGAGGAAGAAGATAAACTTTAACACCACATATGTTGTTTTAAGTGTGCAAACAAATGTTCAGGAAAGAGACTGAGATCAATAGTACTCATAGCAAAGCGCAGTCCCTCAATAGCTGCAACACAGATACTTGAGATAACAGTTCCTCTTTTGATGTTGACATGTCCTCTGGAGGGGTCCTAAAAGTGGTGCGGGTGAGGGGGTACCAAAGGTGATTGTAATCACAGTAAGCAGGAAATACCTTCAACAGCATTCTACATTGTTTCTTTCAAATCCAGCTAACAGAGAGGAATCATATCTTAACATTCGTTGCTATATTTTATTGAGATTGCTTATGGCAAATGTTAGCCTTAAGCCAAGATAGCTAACTGCTAATGCACTCAGGTTTAACCAACTTTCCTGGGGTAAGTTTTAACATTTAAAAAAAATTCACCACGACCTAAATATAACTTGAATGTATCAATGCAATTGTGATTTTCATTGGAGAAAACAATTGCCCATCAATTCCACATTTGAGGACAATGAATTTGCACCTTCACAAGTAACTTATCATCCAGGTCCAGCTCTACCAACTAACCAAACTTGTGATCCAAGCCTCCACAGCAGCTAAGGACCCTCGGACAACCAACCAAACTGCTGCTCCAGCCATCAACCAAGCCATTGAAAAAGCCACAGTCTCTGCTGAAGAAATATTGACTTGGCTAAACGCTAGTCCAATACTTGTTTAACCCATACAAAGAGGAATTCCTTTTAACAAAATGGAAGACGAAACAATACAAGCAATAAGTGACACAAGTTTCAAGCTGGCATTGGAAGTCGAGCAGAAGAGTTTTCAGGTAAAACAGCTTGGAAAGGAAAGTGCATTGTAGCTAGTGTACAGTCGTACCTTTACTGCAATTTCATTCTTATAAAGCTTAACGTTTGTGTATTTTAACCCCTACAGTAATTTAGTTCCAATGTTTTAAATATAAAGCTTTTAGTGTCTTTAGTCATTATCATGGCCTTTATTTCATCATGTTACATTTCACCAATTGACCTGGATCATGGGGTCAGTTTTAATATTTCACTCCTTGCAGTTTTTTTTGGTGTTGAACGAACAGGTATTTTCCAAGCTATGTCTTCATAGACAGTTTGTATAGCAGTTTGAACACCCACGGTTAAAAGAGCCTCAAATTTGAGACACAAAGGTGCAAAATGCTACAATGATTCCTGGCCTCCACCACTTCTTTGACTTGGTCTGAAAAAGAACAGAAAAAAAGTGGTCTCTGTGCATCCCTAGTATTGACTCATTACAGCTTTCTTTTCCTTTGATAAAACACCAAATATATTATTTTAGATTTTAAGATATAAATCCAGTTTGTTTAAAGCAAAACATTTGTTACTATGTAGTTTGTACATACCGGTACTGTTGTATACAAGTGAAAAACATATGTCTGAATAAAATGATCCTCATATTCTGCACAGCATTTACTCTGCCTTCACTACAATTTAAAACACAATTACCACAGTAATCTTTATTAAAACACAAACATACATATAAATATGTATATACATTTCAAATGACAAAATCACTGATTAAAACCATGCAAAATACATTGAAAAAAGGGTGTCAGACGAGGCTGAAACAAAAATGTTTGAAACTATACGCCGGTTCTCTTTGCCAGCTCGTGGCGCTCCTGCTCTGCACCAGAAGAAGCTCTTTTGCGTGAAGGTGCATTGTGATTTGGGACATTGTCTTTGTGGCTGCTCTCCAAGATTCCCTAAACACAAACACATGTACACTACTTTGTAATGTGATCACCAATTACATGCTCAAAGGGCAATGTCAAAAATTAGTAAACCTATAGTGCTACTAAACTGTTATTCAGGAGATGTCTAGTGTCACCATAGTCGTAGCTGTTGTGATATTAACTGGTGCTCATTATTCTATAAGCACTGTGATTTTTACCTTTTCTTGGGAGAAGTGTTTTAGAAGATGTTTGATTTAGCATGATTCAAATGTAACGCAACTGAATTAACAGCATTACCGTCATCTTCTGAACAGCATGCTCCTCTGTCCATTTCCTGGCCTTCTGCGTAAACAGCTGCTTGTTGTATCTGAACTCGGAGGCCTGCATTTCAACACACGTAAAGCCGTGCTCCACTCAAGTGCATAGTATCATAACTGCTCTCTGATGCAACTTGAAGATTTCCAAAAACCTTGACACTACATAAGGTTGCCTCAGAGTGAGGGACACCTCTTGTAACCAAGAGACAATGAAAGTGCATGCTTGAAAGTATAATAGATAACGGACGAAAAATCCTATGTCAACAGAATATGGAAATACATTGCGTAGCAGCAGAATGATTGTTACTGGAGCTCCACCACATGAAATACAACTCACTATATCAGCCATAAGTGGGTCATCTGGATTTGGTTCAGCCATCAGAAGTTGGATGGAGGTAAGAAGCGTGGAGAGGTTTAAGGAGGGCCTCCAGGCTCCCTGATTAAACATGACAAGAAACATTACAATCCGCACAACCACAAAGAACATGAATAAAAGTGCACATATACAGTTTGGTTTGTCCAGTTTGTTATAACCTTTGGAGGGAGTTTGAGAGCCTCATAACAGATACGTCCCGCAGTGTCAATGTTTGGGTGGTAGATTGGAGTCAAGAAGCGCATTTTGGGGGGCTCAAATGGGTATCTACAACAGAAAATTGGCTGTTATGTCTCAATAAGAAGAGTGAAATGTTTAAATCTCACAAATATTACCTCTCTGGGATTTTTATCTCTAGGGAAAAGACTCCACCTTCATATGGAGTCCCTGAGCCACCGACTATCTCTGTAAACCACAAAGGAGAAAACATGTTAAATTGAGAGCTGGGAGACATGCAAAGAAACAAATAACAAAAACAAGCCATAGGTTTCATCAAGCCATAACAAAACTTCCCAAACAATGTAATGTTATGGTTGTTGACTCCAGTTTAAAATAAGCTGTCAATTCTGAACACAACCATCAGTATTTATAAGAGCATCTGCCCAGTGCACACCACATCATCTCAGTTATTCATTTTTAATTTCTTTCTGGAAAAGATTGTTTTGAATTAAGTTAAATTGTGGAAATATTTTTGAAATGATTCATCCTGGCCCCACTTTTTATACCTATTCTATGTAGCACTACTCATAACGGACTCGCAAAGCGCTTTTACTGTGTTGTACAACTTAATGCAAGAAACAAACAAGCAAAACAATCAAAATCCGACTGAAAAACCTTCCAAAACAAATGTGTTTTACACTTCCCTTCACTCAAGTGTTAATATATTCCATACTTTGGAGGCAAGTGGCTATAACACCTTTATTTTGTCACCTTCTATGAGGGACAGTAAGTAAAAGGAAAGTCATCAGACCGCAGTCACAGAACAGGACAATAAAGTGACCAGAGATCCACCAATAAGGAGGAGTCTGAACGTTGGGGTCTCTGAAAGTGACTGTTTTGTGCTGAATCTGAAAATGAAAAGGGAGCAAGTGCGTCACGGGAGTTGTGGTCCAGACAGGGACATCAAAAACATTAACTTGATGGATGAGCTTCAAAAATAAACAAAGAAACAAAAAAAATGCACCCTTTCTTAATGAATAATAAGTTACTTACGGGCCCGAAGGTCGTCAATGCGTTCGTCATTCTGCCAGCAAGTAATCCCGGGAGGAGGTTCGGTGGTCAACATGTCAAGTTCTCTCTTCAAACGGCAAACTCTCTGCATTCTGTTAGACAAATTGAAGGTCAACTAAAATGAAATATATATCTTAAATGTATATTTTCTCTGCGTGATATCATCCCGAGTGTATGACACCTGCGCTGCATTTTCTTCGACATTCGCATTTACACATTGCTATAGGTTGCAAACTTGAACACTAGCTAGCGACTTGCTTGCTAATGACGTGACCGAAGTCGCACGAATATGTCACTGTGCCACCAACACCCAGACGGGGGATAAAACTACACGAAACTTACTCGACGCGACAATATATTGAATGTATTTCTCCTTTTGCCCTCTTCTGTGTGTCTTTTCGGCGATCGCTTGATGACAACACCTAGCGCTATTCCGTTTGTATTTCCCTCTCATGACGTCATCATCGCTACCTCTTCGATTTTGGAATGTTGGAAATGTTTACCCGCACTGTAAACGCTTGCGCCATCTGCTGTTCAAAGTTCAACGTGCTCGGGTTTTAGGGTTGTTTGAAAAGTGTCAACCTGTTTGCTTAGTTGGAAACTGTAGATTGCAGACACTCCTTCGTGAATTCAACGTTGTGAAAGTTATTATTCACATGACCAGCGGGATAAACTAAACTATTCGTGATATTTTAGTTGTATTATTATCATGAAAAGACGTAAAAGTGTTTCGTCCAATCATGTTATTTTGCGCACAGTCCACGCGAGGATTATCTTTCTTTCGTTTTTCATTTCCCGGAAGGGTTGGATTCGAAAATAGTCGAGCGGTGTTCTCGGAAAACAAATTAGAAGTGCGTCTGTGCGCCTGTTTATTTCTTTATTTGGGGACAGCCGCAAACGGACATGTCCATCCGGAATATCATGTCCACGTCCCTGTTGGCGAAGGTGAGTTCGTCTCTGAAGGGGAACTCATCGACATTGTGTTGGTTTGGGGGGAATTACCTGTCACTATGATTGCATTATGGACGTGAATACTTTTTTTTCAGGAAGGGCGTCAAAAAGCAAGTTCCCCCACTTTAATGAATGAAACGCAACTCAATGGGCATCACATGCAACCAGACAAGATTTTAAACGTCACCCCTCCCTCACAGGATGACCTGTGGCATCTTCCCGGACAGCTCCGTGAGTCCAGTTATATATCCTATAGTACATGACATATTCCAGGAACATTTTATGCCCCCCCCCCATATGCCCCCCCCATACACACACACACACACACACACACACACACACACACACACACACACACACACACACACATATAAACATTTCAAATAATCCACGCACGAAGTAAAGAACCAGGAACTTGTTGACTAAATTCTTGTATGCTGACAAAAAAAATGTAACTGTGAATGTAGTAAAAGGCATTCCTATATGAACCAAATTGTTCTTGAGCACCATCAAAAATGTTTTTTCTCTCTTGTCCTTCCCTCACGATGGACAATTTACATATAATCTACAACCGATAATATCTATTTTTAAATAAACTTTTTTTGGTTTGATTTTATTGATATGTCTATCTTGTAATTGTGAAGCCATTCGTTTTTTTTTTTTAATAGTACTGTGCACTAAAGTTGTGTCTCTCAACATGCATGCCTGGAACCCTGTTAGAGAAAAAAAGTCAGGAACATGACTTAACAGAGAAGACATAATTAAGCTACTGTAATTGCTCTGACCATGGGTAGACCTAAAGTCCTCTTCTATTTTTTTCATATTATTTCAACATTTTCAAATTACAGCCATAATGGCGCGTGCCACTCAAATCAATGCAGCCTTGTCACTCGTATTATCAGAAAAAAAGTCAATATCAAGGTACAGTACTTCCTAACATAGCGGCGAACAGAGCTAGCATGTAGTTTTTTTTTGGGAAAAACTTTGAACATTGGATTTGATTTCCTGGAATTTCAACGTACATAATACTAAAAATGGCTTCCTATTAAAATAAAATGGAACATACTTAATATAGTCATTAAAAATAAATGTGGCAATGCATTTTAAATATATGTTTTTTAGGTGCCGAAATGTTATAGGGTTGTACAAAACAAAGCCAGGGGCACCATTGATGGTTGACTTGGACGGATCAAATTATGTGATTATTTTGTACTTATTTTTCTTGACGGGAGTAAAAAAAAAAAAAAAAAAAAAAAAAAGATCAAATAAAAGGTCAATTTTTAAAAAAGGTTAATGCCTAAATTGTCCTCCAATTCTGGACTAGCCCACAAACATAAAGCCAAGCACTCTTTTTCAACTGACTCTTATGTGCATCTTATGCCAACAGGAATAAATCCATCTTTGTGGGATAGGGACGATGTCTCCCTCTGGCTTCACTGGGCTCACAAGGAATACTCACTACGGCGACCTGAGAAGGGACGCTTTGAGATGAATGGCCGAGCCCTGTGTCTGCTCACTAAGGAGGACTTCAGACACCGCTGCCCCAGCTCAGGTATAGCTGAACACAGGTCTTATGCATGACGGACCCCTTTTACAGCAGCATATGTAACACTTGATTGTCTGCAGGCGATGTTCTGTATGAGATCCTGCAATGTGTGATCAATCAACGGAGGAGTGTTGTATTTGAACCCCCAAAAAGGTCTCACAACCAAAGTGCAGACAGGCCTCCAATGTCTGTCCCAGAAACTGAAAAGCCCCTGTCTCCCTTCTCAGACAACATGCAAGGTCAGACATACTTGCATTTGCCTTCAAAAACACGCACAGTACTAATAGAGGTATAGTCAGTCGCTTTAGAATATAATGTCTTGACAACACACTGCCCCAAGTGATCACATAAAAGACTTTTTGAGCAAACAGAATAAAGAAATTTGACTTTTAAATTGATTTGCTTTTGTGAACTTTTGATAAAACTGTCAACCTCCCTGCCTATACTACTCTCGACACACTAAACCCAAGCTTGTTGTTGATGTGAGGATTCGAGGTTAAAGGAGTACGGCAGCTGTTTGATGATGAACAAGGTGACAAGTTAAACTGTCAGCATGTCAAACTGTCACGAAAAAAGCCCCTCTAAATTGTGTTGTTCTGAATTTATAACTCACCATAAACCTTCGCAAATGTATACACGTTTCACACATTCACTATCAATGGCCAGTAAAAAAAGAAGTGGAATGCATGCCAAGCATTGTTTAGAAACCAGCAATGTTACAATTTGAGGAGCCAGAAAATGCCTGACAGTTAATAATGTTGCACCCTTTTTACACCCCCTCCCCCCAAAAAAAACCAAACAAACAAACTGCATTTGCTCGAAAGACTTTTGGTTTCAGTTTTACTCTCCACGGCTGTTCAGATTTCAATTGCACTTCACACTGTTTTCATTTCAGCAGCGGTTGTGACATGTTTGTGACTTTTGTCCCTCTTTATCTGCTTCTCTTTTTCTGTATCTCAAAAAAAAAAAAAAGAAATCCAAGATGAAACTGAAACACTCATAGAGGAACCTCTCAATCTGACTTGCCAAGAGAAGCATCGAAGGCAGGTGCTCAGACCTGACGGTCGCTTGCCAGGTAAGGCTTAGTTTTCTCACAATAAAACACGCTTCAAAGATTCAAACTCGAATACAGCTTAAAGTTGTGTGGGGAAACCTGTTACATTTTCGAGAAGGAAACCCTTTTACTTCCTGTTAGATGTGTTGGCATCCAAAGGAATATACTGTACTATATATAAGTGCGGTGGTACGTGGAGCTCTCTCTAGTGATATGCGAAATAATCATTAAATTTGCAAAACTGCAGTTGTGTTGTTCATAAATTCTGAAATTTTCATTTTTCTGGGAGGCCCAAGCCCAAAAGACTCTGCCATGAGGCCATATAGTTAGATGCTAAGGGCGCCAGCGTCTCCAGGGGGCGTCAAAATGGGTATAAAAAAGTAATTCCCCAAAAGTCCGGATGACAACTCACCCAACTCCCCTTCCAACTACTTTCTTCTGTCGCCCTCTTCTGGCTGAATGTTATCTCTGACGGACTTGATGATAATGGCTAAACAGTAAAGCAATGTCTCTATTTTGATGCAGCTGGGCTGCAAAGGGGATCTTAAAATAATTTGTAGTGATGAACAGCACTCAACACGGTGTCTATTTTATACTGGCCTATTGTGCGCTTTTATTATTTGTTTATACATCGCAACTGGACTGTTCTGTTTGTCTTAGAAGACGTTTTCACCTTTCATATCGAAAAGGCTTCAACAGTTCATGCAACAAGGCTTGGTTAGGACAGCAGCAGCCTGAGTTGCTGCGGAAAACCCAACTGTTTAAGTTGGAGGCACTCCTCAAACCACAAATGGTATCATTCTTTTGGAATGCAAAACGACAGTCGATAAGCTGCCCTGCAGGGAAGCCTCTGTCGGTCTCAAGTTGCTGGGGCGAAACTATCCATTTATCTATCCACCGTATTTTCCGGACTAGAAGTCGCAGTTTTTTTTTAGTTTGGCTGGGGGTGCGACTCATACTCTGGAGTGATTTATGGGTGAAATTATTAACACATTATTATATAATTTCACATGTTATTTTCACATTAAACCGCAAGAGGCCGCACTCGACCCGTGTTGATAAAACCACGATGAGTCTGATGTAAGCGACGTAGAAGAGGAAGCGCGGCATTTCTACGTCCGGAGTTGGTGGAGTTGCTTTAAAGTGACACACAGGATGAAGATTCCATTGGATTTAGTGATTTGGAGTGACATTGATGGTTTGGTGAACTTGTTAGCATCTTCTTTATGCTATAGTTATCTAAATAACTCTTAATATGTTACTTGAACATACCGGGCATGTTCTCAGTTCGTCGTTTATACGTCATGTAACGTGAGCATATTGTACACTTATTCAGCGTGTTGTTTTCTATTTTACTTTTTTTTAAATTGCCTTTCAAGATGACATGTCTGTTTTGGGAGTTGGATTTTATCACATAAATTTACCCCCAAAATGCGACTTATACTCAAGTGTGATATATGTATGTTTTTTTGTTATTTATTTTGCATTTTATGGCTGGTGCGACTTATATACGGTATCTATCTATCTATAGCATATGTGCTTTTTAATATTGATGGAGAGTCAATCAATTTCATTGAATCAATTTCACTTCTTCCCAACCCTTTTCGGGCATGTAGGTGAAATTGCACTTCTGTTTTTTTTCCATGTTGTTTCGACTGTATGTTATGTGCTAATATTGTTGTATATCATTTGCATGTTCGGAATAGAAAAAAGCAACCAACCAACATCTCTTGAATTAAGACCACGAGTGGTCGCTGTCGCTGTAATTACGTCAACATTGCTTTCGTCACTAGGCAGAATGTCCATGAACTTCCAGCCATCCACATTAAGCCTATCACACACACACACACACACACACATATATATATATATATATATATATATATATATATATATATCATGCGCCCTGTAACCTGATAACATGAGAAGCTGTCCGCTGTGGTGACCGCTGTCCCTGAAAGGGTTCAATAGGTATCTTGCTCCATCTTCTGATCGGATCTGTGATCATATTTTTCAAACTCGCTGATCAGTGATCGGCCCCAAAATCCTGTTTGTGTGAAGCCTACTCATTAATATTCCATTCAGTTGTAAAAAAAGTAGTGGAGCTACCTCAACAGTCAAAGGGGACGGTGTTTTTGCTGTTTGTTCAAGGCAAAATGATTCAGTCGCTTCGTAATGGATGAAAGAAGAGCATTGTATGTGAGGGGTGGGTGGTGTCGTAAGCTTTCAATGAACTTGTTTTCAGCGTAACTGTGAGAGAAAGGCTTCTATTCATTTGTGCATGTTTCTTTTTCAGAAAACAGTGATTTAAGTTTTGAATCCAGCGAGAATTTTTACTTTTAGCTATGTATTTACAGCCTGTTGATCTATGTACTTAAAAAATGATTCAGAACCAGTGTTTGCGAGTAATGTTTTTCAAAGTGCAAAATGTTACAGTTTCCTAGATTCCTTACAATGATATTGAATGGATTTTTTTCAAAATAAAATTCCCGCTTTGTTGTTGTTTTTTTTTTTTTTGTTTTTTGTTTTTAATGAACCTTAGGCCTAGTACACCACTGGATTTTAATGTTGGTCATCAGGGTGGTACTTCAAGTACTAAATATTGTTTTGGGTGGCTGCTATGGAAAAAAAATCAAAATCCACTGCTACACATCAATAAATCAAGCTGGAGACGCAAATATTTCTCTGCAGAAAAGCAAATTTAATTTAAAGTCATAAAACAGATGTAAAAGTCAAAGCAGGAAAGAAAAGCATGATGATGGCCTACTTATAAGTTGGCTAGAATGCCAGTGGCTGCACATACGGAGATAACAGCTGATCTGAATGCAGGGTTTGTCATGCTGTTTGCCGTGTTTTAAGATGAACATGATATAATGGTGATTATGGGAGCACTACCAACGGACAAACCTGTTTCACAACCATTTAGCACCACAATTGCATTGGTAAATATACTGCTTCCTTGAATTGGACTTGTTACGTGACCAAGCTCCTGGAGCCTATCCCAGCTGTCTTCGGGCAGTAGGCGGGGTACACGCTGAACTGGTTACCAGCCAATCGCAGGGCACACATAGACAGACAAATAAAAACCCTTCGTACTCCCCCCCCCCCCACCACCGCTGTATATAAAACTAGCATTCCCAATCAAATGATTTGAAATCCCATTCATCCATTTCACCCACGGGGAAAAAGAGAGCACTACAATTTTTTGTTTTGTGTTTTCAATAAAGAAAAAAATAACACTCATCAGAATTGTTATATGTGTGGGAAAAGCAGATTCACAGCAACTGGAGGGTTGGAGGTGCGCCTTTAAGAGGTGTGGCCTTGTGATTGACATCAGGTATATACTGTAGTTATTTAGTCTTCTTGTGAGCATCAGGACGTGAATTTTAGGCAAATGTAGCTGCTTGCGAATGTGTGTTTGACTACATATTTTTGAGTAAATGGCTCAAAGTGCAAAAAAGGAGAGAGAGAGAGAGAGAGAAATAGTCTCTGTTTCTCTCCTTTTTATCCCCACTTCACTCATCATCACTGTATCTGAAATTTGCTTGGAACTCATATTTTGGTTCACAACACAAAGCAAATAAACTGAAAACGCAGCTGCTCATAACTCCAAAACCTTTTTATGGGGAGGGAGCGGGGAGCTCGTCAAACAAGGTGCCATTGTAACTAAATGGATTTCAATGCTTGCAATGTTGACCCTTCTTCAAGCAAAATGTGTGTGCAGGATTTTGGGGCCGTTCACTGCTTCATGATTAACGCCGATCTACCTGCTCATATCCTCAGAAGCAATACAAATTAAAAATAAATAACCCCCCGTCCCAACTGTTTTGCATGTAGCTACAATGATGATACTTGCTTGTGTTTAATTGATTTTTTTATTCCTGTATATGGAGCAGAGTGCAGACTACTGTGGGATTATGTCTACAAATTGCTGTGTGATGACCAATATGAAGAATACATCCGATGGGAAGACCGTGGCAGCCTAGTTTTCCGGGTGGTGGATCCCAACGGCCTTGCTCGTCTGTGGGGACACCACAAGGTGAGCACTGAGTTTTGTGCCATTCAAATATGACAAGTTGAACCCTGCCACACTAATGATGACACATGTCCTCCGTAGAACCGAAAAAATATGACTTATGAAAAAATGTCTCGTGCTCTAAGGCACTACTACAAACTCAACATCATCAAGAAGGAGCGAGGACAAAAACTCCTCTTCAGGTCTCTTTTTCTTCCTATTTGTCATCTTCCTTTTATTTGGTTCACATTGTTAACTAGCATGTGACTTTTGTCAGGTTCCTGAAAACACCACAAGATATCCAGAAAGAGCTGGATGACCCCCTTGCGTCTCCAGCACACTCACCCCTCCAGGACAGGAACTTTCCAGGCAGCAGCCCTTCATCTGAATTGAGTGAGGAACATTTTGAGGTTTCCCCTGATCGTACCTCTCCAGATTGCTCTCCAACTGCCCCTCCGGTGAGATAAAAGAAGTTCTGTGTCATGCAGGCCATTTGAAGTCCAAGTAAACTTCGCATTACTTTTTTACTTAATACTTTATTTCACTTCAATTCCCTCTGAGAATCAGTGCTTTTGCTTTAATTATGCCAAACACTATTAAGGAGAAAAAGAATTATCCAGCACGTTGTTGATATCATGTGTTAAAATTCTCCTGCAAGAAACTGTCATACGTTGTGTTGAGAATAATTTGTTTGAGAAGTATATGGAATGTTTTTTGTGCGATATATTTTGTGCAGGACATTATAACTTCTGTCCATCAATAATACTAATTTTGATCATGAAGTGTGTTTCTTGTTTTTTTTTAATAAATAATAATTCGAGCAGTGTGTATACATTTTTATTTTGGAACATTTCTCAAGTCTATGATAATAGCCAAATCATTCTGATATTATTATTTTTGTTGAGTTGAGCTACTCCCATTGGCAGCTTGGGATAATTTCTCAGGAATACAAAACGTATCTATGTACACGCACATTTCAGAAACCGCAATTGAATTAAGGCTGCACATGAGTTGTGTTTTTGTTGACAGTTGTTTTTGGTTTTGTTTCATGTTATGTTTTGTGTTCTTGTAGTTGGTGTCTTGTTGTGACACCTTTAGGTCTTTTTTTTTGTTGTTTCCACCCGTGCTTGTCAACCCGGTCCCTTGTGTCTTCTAATCAGCTCCCTCAGCCACTCATGACTTGTCCAGGTGTTCCTCATTGTCTTGTGAGTTTGTTTGTATTTAGTTCCCTGCCTGCATGCAGTCTTTGTTGGATCTTTTGCATGTCTATATGCTGCCTCTCAGTTGTAACCCATATCATGGTGAGTTCTGTCTTGGTGGGGGGAGGGGGGCGCGAGCTTTCATGAAATTAGTTTTTTGGTGATTCCAAAGGGCCTTGTTTTATGTTATTGTAATTAAATTATTATTTGTGAGCACAACTCCCTTGCCTCACTGCTTCCTTGCAATTGGGTCCACAACCCTGCCCACCTTAACAGTAGCAACGCCCGACCAGTCGCCGCAAGTTCAGAGGGGGCAACAAGCCATAACAATACAGTATTTACAGTCAATATATTGTTTCATAGGGCGGCACCGTGGCCGACTGGTTGGCACGTCCGCCACATACTAGTGTTCCAATCTGGGCTCCAGCCTTCATGTGCCGAGTTTGTATGTTCGCTCTGTGCCTGTGTGGATTTTCTCCAGTTTCCTCCCACATTCCAAAAACATGCATGGCAGGCTGATTGAACACTCTAAATTGTCCTTTGGTGTGAGTGTGAGTGCAAATAAATGGTTGTTCACCTACGTGTGCCCTGCGATTGACTGGCAACCAGAAGACAGCTGGGACAGGCTCCAGCATGCCCCGCGACCCTTGTGTGGATAAGCGGAACAGAAAATAGATGGCTGGATATTTTTTCATGATTCATGCCCAACTAATTAGAATGTCATAATTACGTGTGGATGAGAAATTAAAGCGTGGAGTGAGTGCATAAATATAGTATGTAGAACACTGGTGGGCTCTGGTTTTTCCTAGCGTGGCAAGCTTTGATTACATATGTTGGAGCTCTAATTTAAAGTGTGTGGTAGTGGTGTTTTGTACATTTTCATTTGTGTATCACCCAGTGCAACTAGAACACAACATTTTTGAAGCACTTTTAACAATTTCAATCTAACACCCAAGGTGTCTTCTGCGCTGGTAGAGCAGTAAAAAATGTTTTGTGTGTTTTGTTCCCTTGATATTTCACGTAGTTCATTTTGACTTACTTTGTTCATTCAGACCTTTTTTTCATGAATGTTATCACATGGGGAGTAGTTTCAGGGGACTAAATCAAACAGGAGTGGAAGGACTCATAGTAAGGGTGTTATGTGCTCTTATCACATGTGCTTGACTAACATGCTATGGCGAATTGAGGTCTTTTTAAAAGGAGTCATTATCCAGCCTTCTCTTTTCACTGGTTAACTTCTCTTGGTGCTTTTTTTTTTCCAAATCTAATTATCTCTATCTGAGGTGGGACGGGGGCCACTCTAATCACCACTGGTATCGATCTACAGGTCTTATACTGACGGTCTTAAAATGGTTCTCGAGGAATCCAGTGTTAATTTTCGTGAGGCGCCGTCATCCATTTCCTTCTCCGGATCCGGCTTTTTGGCCACCTACGAGTTGGGAGTTGCCCAGTGCTTTGTCAATAATGCGCCGTGGCTACTGCGCAAAGCACCGTCTATTCTTGGCGCCTCAGCGGGGTCTTTGGTTGCTGCTGCTGTTGCCTGTGAAATAGACCTGAGTAAGTGGTTCCCTCTTTTCTGACGAATATGCTTTGAAATTATTTCAATGAATCTTTCCGAATCCCGCGCCCAGTTACGATGCGAAACGAGATGCTCAACTTCGCTAGAGCGATGAAGGCCTTCACACTTGGACCATTCAACCCTTCTGTTGATATTCTACACTGGTTAAAATACATCTTGCACAAATACCTTCCCTCTGATGCCCATCTCCTCGTAAACGGTCGTCTCGCTGTGGCTGTGACCCGCCTGGATGATGGCGAGTACACCGTAATAACGGAGTACCGGTCCAAAGATGATGTCGTACAGGTGAAGTGGACTATAGGTTAAACGGATTGATTCTTTGCCTTTCAAAAAAATAAAAGTCCTTGATTTGTGCATTTCTAATTCCCATTCTCGACTTCAGGCTCTGCTTTGTAGCTGCTTTGTTCCAGGATATTGTGGCATGCTGCCTCCCTCCCTCAATGGAGTAGTGAGTATTTGACTGCATTGAGGGAAAAAAAAAAATCCTGTTGTGTTGGTCCTATCATGTTTCTGTGCTCGTATTTTCCAGCACTATATGGATGGAGGTTTCAGCCAGATGCAGCCAGTTCTGGCGCTACCCTGCCGTACTTTAACAGTGTCTCCCTTTTCCGGAGAGACGGACATCTGTCCGCGAGACAAGCCCTGCATGTTGGACATGGTGGTGACGGGAGTAACCTTGAAAGGCAACTTGGCCAACGGTCTAAGGTTCTGGAATGCGCTCTACCCCCTAAAGCCAGATGTGAGTGTTTTCATGTCGGTGGATTGCTGATTAATGCTGATCCCTTTCCGTGCCCCGAGCGGAATGGTAGCTACCAGTGTAAATAATTAACATGACCGTTCCCTTTACTTTGAACCTCATGATACAACTCGGGCTGGAGTTTTTTTTTTATTGACAATGCTTCCAAACATGTGTGTGTTCAGACTGTGGAGCAAGCTTATCACAGTGGCTACAAAGATGCCTTTCATTTTCTTCTGAGCAATGGTTGGTCAACTACATCTTGAGGAAAGCACACACATGCAGAAGCTGTTCTTTTATTTAGGGTTCATGATAGCTCATCTCCATTTTACTGTCTTTTCTTTCACTGTACGCAGAGCTTCTCCCAAACATGACAATGATCACACTTCCTCAAGAACTAGAGAGCGCTCGCTGCCGTCGCACTAAAACTCCTAAATTACCAGAGACTACTCCAGAGGAGAAGGAGAAGGAGAAGGAGAAGGAGGAGGAGGATGATGATGAAATGGGGACAACAGCGTCGTCTTTTTTCCAAGGCAACCAAAGCATGCAGATGAGCACTTCTGCCGAGCTTCAATCTCCAGCTGCGGAACGACCCCTCTCATTTGATACAGCAAAGAATGGTGTGCACGGCACTCTTGCTTTCCACTTAGCTCAGCCGCATTCAGGAACACTCCAGTCAAATGTAATATTTGTGCGACAGTTCTGATGGGCAATATGACAATGTATGGGAGCATGCTTGGCCCTTCCGGATTCTTGACCGACTTGGTGCTACCGATGGTACTGATGTTGCAGACTCTGGTTGAGACCAAGGAAATGTAAGATCACGTGATTTTTACTATCACTATTAACTTTTATTGACACAGTAACTTGATTTCTTTGAGAAGGGGAGTTGGTCAGGGAGAATGTTCTCCTCACATTTTAACACTTAACCCTTTAGGTGCCATTTCCCCCCCCGTCCCCCATCAAATACTGAGCTTTGAGGTTTCCAAACGGTTGTGGCGTGAAGGGTGAGAGAGAAAGGCGAACTGTAAATGTTGCTACTTAGAGTTGAGTGGCATAATACGCAGGTAGTTTGCTTGGAATGGGTCCTTCATTTCTACATCAAACGCTGAAATATTTTAGGTTGTGAACATGATCATTGAGGAATTCCGTCCTGATGGCTGACATGTGAATGACATCTTATTGCTCTTGTACCTTGTGATGCATTTACCATAAAATCTTTGAGCATTGAATGACCTTGATCCACTTTATTTGCCCTTGCTATGCAGATTCTGGTTGCTGTCCCAAAGGACTCCAGCGGTGGCGTTTTGGGCTTGGTGCAGCCTGAGACAGTTTACGATATTCTTTTTTAGTATCCTCTTCTTTACCGTAACTAAGAACTTCAAGAACAGGTTTGACATCTTGATTGAATGTCCATCAGAATCAGTCATTGTTTTATACTTTTCAAATTAAAATGTGTACTAATGTTTCCTGTCTGCTCTGGTCTACCATGCAGGGTGTTGCCCATCATTTTGAAGTTTGTGGTGACGAAACAAGCTCAAAATGAGGTTCCGCTAAAGCTCAGTTGCCCTCCACGTCACAAGGAGCTGTCCCGACCTGAAAGCGTCAGGTTCGGAGGTTTGCGGTCCAAACCTCCTTTACGGGCGTTGTAACATGTCAATTAAAATGCTTCAAGACTTTTTTAAACAAAGCTCATTGACAAATCTGTGCGCTGAACTTGTCACACGTGTAAATGCAGATCTTGGACGTGTGTGTGTCTGAAGCAGCCGAAAGATTGAGTTTATTCTTTTGCAAAAGAAGGCTTCGTTTAAGCAAATTGTGCAGAAAATATTTTTTGATTTCCTTGCACTTTGTGTTGTCCAGCAATTTCTCTTCACATCCTTGCCAAGAGACTTCCTACCTTGTGTTAATTCCTAAATGCCCGTGTAGTTTTCTCGAGCCATTATGTGACTAATTGCAAGATTAAATCAACCCAAATCGGTTTTCATGCTTGAGCTGTTGAAAGTTAAACTACCAAACGTGCAGCCATGTACAGTAAATTCCAAAGCCGCCTGATAAGTTTCAGTGTCAGACACTCAAAATTTCTTTCACAAATGCATTAAGTGAAATATGTTGAGGTTGTAATGATTATATTGATATTGTAGCCTGGGTTGAAAAGGTTGAGATTTGGTGCGGAAAACCTTTTGCTTCTGTTCGGGTAATGAGGGGTCCCCAATATCCCCCACCCCCATATGCACGAGGATACCTGTCTAAGTGCTCAATGAATGTATGTAATTGTGCTTGTTATCCCATGAACTATTTTAGCATGTGCTGATATGGAGTGTTGCATACTATCAATAAAGCCATGGCTAGTAGCCCCACACTTGAATATTTCATCACCTTTTTTGCCATGAATTACACATTGACATGTCATAAAAATGTTCTTTTTAGAAGGGGGGGGGCGGTCGACACAATTTATCTGCATTGCACAGGTCCTATATAAGAACTGGACAGATTTTTCAAAGCAGGTATTATATGGTCTCACACTCTGATTTGTATTGGGCATCAGCCATGATGCAACTTCTGCATTTCTAACACTATTACCCAGCTGCTTGCCAGTCACACCCATTCAAAGGCAAACGGAGTCCAACCGTAGCTCACATTCGCATGCAGGTCCCCACTTCAATTTTTATTTTTTTTAGAATAGTTTTCCTGTACAATATGCATTTAAATGTAGTTGCATAAGATAGCCACTGAGTGGAGTATTGAGCACAAAGCAGGAAAAGAGTCTTGTAGGTGTTAAAGCTTGGTGTATATTTTTCCAAACTCTTTACCAGGTTACGCTTCAAGCAGATGTAAAAATTGCAACTCAATTGCCCTTTGTTTTTATGCCTAATTTTTGTCAATATCATGACTAATGCATTTTGAGGTACAATGAGGTTGTTGACCTACAGATGCTCTGCAAGGATATCCTGTTCCACTGCTTACCTCTTCAGCCCTTTCCGAATGGATGAATGAATGTGTTGGCACTGTTTTGCAACAGACTGTTTGCTATCTGTAACACGGTTGGCCTATTACCTGCTGGTGGATCCTCTTATATAATGACCGTGGACGGATGATACGGATAACACGCACATCTGTTGCTTCTCTATGTAAGCCATTGATCCAGCCAGTCAGCCGGAAAGCAGCTGCTTTTGTAAAGTGTGTGTGTGTGTGTGCGCGCGCGCGCGCATGTGTCTTGACTACTCTATATGCAATGTCAAGTGGAGAAAAAAAACAATCTGGTGCTATATAATTTGAAGGTTTTCAATGACACGGTGGTGAAGGAAAAAGTCACTGTCTGGTTTCCACCGTTCAATGATTTCAATGGGAAATCAGACCATGAGAATATGAGCAAGGTTACGAGAGTGAGAATGAAACCCTACTTTGAGACCCAAACAATAATTCGAAACCACACTTTGGCTAATCCTGCCATCACACATTTTGACTGTTGTATCTCTCATTCATAGCGGAAACGGGGGCGGGGGAGATCTACATTGTGACGTGTTCATAAGATTCGAACCCCACAACCTTCGGGTTGAGAGCTGACCACTCTGTTACCTGAGGCCTATATATAAAAATGTAGCCAATCAGAATCATCTTTATTAGCCAAGTATGTAAAACACACAAGTAATTTGTCTCCGGTAGAATGAGCTACCCTAGTATTGCAATAACAAGCAGCTACGATAAACAAAGACATGACATAAGTTGCGAAAGACTTTCCGTAATGTAAGGGTACCATTGTGCAGTAGTACCGCCCAAAGACAGCTTGTGTGACATTGTGCAGACTCATCGAGAAGAGATAAAGTGATCAGTGGTGCAATACGGCACGATGAAGGTTGGTGCAGTTGGTGCAGATAATCGTTGCACCATTTTTTAAAATGACCAATACTGGTAATCAAGATAAGAAAACCTTTATTTGTCTCACAATGGAGAAATTTGCAACTTTTGGTGTGCAAATTATACAAAAGTCCTTGAGCTCTTTCAAGTGTCTGGTGCTGTGGACTATTGATCAATGACAATTGTTCAAGTATGTAGGAAGCTGCAGCTACAATGAGCAATGCAGTAATACTGTGCCACAGGGGTGTGCAAAATTTGCAAAGAGACTACTATAGATTTGAGTCACCGTTTAGGGGGTTAATTGCGAGATGGAAGAAGCTGTCTGCTGGTTTTGGTGCCCATGGTTCGATAGCGCGTACCTGAGGGGAGTAGCTAGAAAAGGTGGTGGGCAAGGTGTGGGGGTCCAGTAGGATTTTCCGTGCCCTTGTCTTGGTTTTTGTGGTGTGCAAGTCCTCGAGAGTCTGTAGGGCGGTAGCAATGATTTTTTTTTTCTTTTTTTCTGCAGGCCTAACTGTCGGTTGTAGTTGGATTTTGTCCTTTTTGTGGCAGCCTCAGGACTACATCCTCTGTTGGGCCATTTTCAGGATGGAGTCTCGACGGTTGACACATGGAAGTTGGACAATGTGAGGGACAGGCAGCTATGGCGAAAGATGTTTCCCGAAGTCGACGATCATCTCTACAGTATTGTGCGTCTTCAGCTCCATATTGTATTGGCTGCAGCAGAGCGCCAGCTGCTCCACTTAATATCGGTATGCAGACTCGTCGCCATCTTTGATGAGGCCGATGATTGTGGTGTCGTCTGCGAACTTTGAGCTTGACGGCTGGGTGCGTTGAGGTGCTGTTGTTCGTGTAGAAGGAGAAGAGCAGCGGAAAGAAGGATGCATCCTTGAGGGGGGGCGGCAGTGCTGATGGTGCGTGATGATGATGATGTCCTTTCCAGCTTAATCTGTTGTGTCCTTCCTCACAGGAAGCTGAGGATCCACTGGCAGATCATAGGGGACACACACTGAGCTAGAGAAACTTAGAGGTGAGGAGTTCCAGGATGATGATGATGAATGCAGAGCTGAAGTCCACAGAAGTCCAAAAATGTGATCAAATCCTGATTCACTTTATGTAAGGTACTCTTCAGTCTTCTTCAACCCAACTACATGATTGCAATTTACCCAATTAAAGTGGTTGTAGATTGTTACCCCGCATTTATTGGGCAGCTTCTTTAGATTTTTTTTTTTTTTTTTTTTTTTTTAAATGTAGGTAGACTGGGTGTTAAATTTTTTTCTGGGTGACACTTATTGATATAAAATAGGTATAGGTGTAATTAATCCTTTATTTTAGAATTCTTTTACTGACGATAATCAGCCAAATTTTACATGGCTTACACGAGTTATAGTTCCCACACTCCAAAATCGTTTTTTACAGTCTAGCAAGGGCTTTGTGCAAGTGCTTAAGTCACCCAATCGATTGAACATCTGAAATATTCTCATTAATCACATGACCTCAAAAAAAAGATTGTCTACAAGTGATAAGGAATGACATTTGCTTGCACTTTGCTCGGATTTCATGGACCCCACACATCACTAATATGAGACAGCAAAACCATGAACAAGCCATTGATTCAGAAAGAAAAGAAAGGTGTCAGGAATTCATTTTCTTTCATCTGTAATTATAATAGACTGCACATTCATTTCGGTAATGTAGCATGCATCATTACTGACATGTTAGAGCCGAAACATTAATAATTAAATAAGAGCATGATGTCAGAATATCAAATTGATCATTTCATAGTGATTATACTGAATACAAGGATATATTTAAAACTTATGACAGTGAGAACTTTTAAACACGCGATACTACAAAAATTTGGGTCTGGAACATTACGATTTTTTTGTTTTTTTTCCAGTCTTGTGGAATACAAGACTGGAAAAAAAACTAAAATCACACGCTTCACTGGAAACTATAATTCTGCTCTCATACATGCAAGCTTGTGTTTGTGTGTATTTTACCCTCTGATTACACTTGAGAGGGAGGGTGGAGGCATTAAAGCCATGTTATGTGCTTGGTGATGCATAAAGCCTTACTTATGCCATTAACCCTTCATGTATGGCAGGAGATGGGCAATACTGCACATTAAAGTGCTTGTTTGCACGTGACGATATTTATGGCTATCTTGGTGAGCACCAAATACGTTTTAATGTGATGGACAATTTGGATGGGCCCCAAATTGTCATCCTTTTCTCTACATTCTTGCTTGATCAAGTGACTTTGGTGATGTTCATTCTGAACTCAGTGACCTGGTGCTGTTGAGGGAATTACTGGGTGTTGCATATGACCAAAAAAATAAAGCAGTGATTACTGAGAATCCAATATCTCGATTTTTTTTTCCCCCAGCCCACAGCAATATCATGATGTTCGATGCACTAAAATAGGGGGATGTGACTGTGCAGTTCATAAATAAAGACTTTAGTTAGAACTGAGTAAAACCAGAACAAAAAAGAGGAAAATGTGGTCTAAAATGTGTTGCTTTGGGAGTCTCCGAATGCATGTGACCTACCCTGACTGTTTGTTTATCCATCTTGAAGTTGGGTAATCTGTGAGGTCCGACAGGGATAATTCTCATTAATCCTGTTCACGCAATCAGTGAAACAGATGTCAGATTTTACTGGGGAGCACCATTTACATTTTAATGAATATATATATATATATATATATATATATATATATA